GCTTTCCACCCCACCTTTCCTTCATACACCGAGCCTTCATTAGCCTAGCACTTTAAGCTTAAATGGCCTTGTGAGGAAGTTCTTCCTTCAGTCTACCTTGCCTCTCTCATGCTGGAATTCAGGTTCCCTTTTTTTTTTTTTTTTTTTTGCGGTACACGGGCCTCTCACTACTGTGGCCTCTCCCGCTGCGGCGCACAGGCTCCAGACGCGCAGGCTCAGCGGCCATGGCTCACGGGCCCAGCCCCTCCGCGGCATGTGGGATCTTCCCGGTCCAGGGCATGAATCCGTGTCCCCTGCATCGGCAGGCGGACTCTCAACCACTGCGCCACCAGGGAAGCCCCCTTTTTTATATTCAGATCCTTCTTGGAGGACGGAGAAGCCCCCTCCCGCCTTAAGTGGAACGTGGATTTGAAAGAGAGCCTTGGGTTCTGGAGACAGGTGCTGGGTAAACCGCGGCGTCGTCATTAGGGCTATTATATCATGAACATTACTCGTCTGTCTGCTCCTTCTGAATGCAGTAGCTCTCTGGGCAGGCAGGCAGCCACCCTCCTTCCCGTTTGTTCTGGGGAGCGGAAGAAAGAGGGGAGATGGGGAGGTGTGGTGAGGAGGGGGCAGAAGGAGGAAGTCAAGGAGGGGCTCAGAGGGGAGCCAGCTATGCTCTTCTTTTTTTTTTTTTTTTTTGCGGTACGCGGGCCTCTGACCGCTGCGGCCTCTCCCGCCGCGGAGCACAGGCTCCGGACACGCAGGCCCAGTGGCCATGGCTCACAGGCCCAGCCGCCCCGCGGCACGTGGGATCCTCCCGGACCGGGGCGCGAACCGGCGTCCCCTGCATCGGTAGGCGGACCCTCAACCACTGCGCCACCAGGGAAGCCCTATGCTCTTCTTATAATGTGGCTCCGCCCTTAGACTACATGTTCCCCCAGAAAGAGGCTGTGTCACCCCATCAGACTGGCATTTATGAACCTGATTTATGATGGTCACCACCTGTGGAGGTACAAGGGTGTGATACGGGCCATTTGGTCCGTGAGGCTGTCACACTGATTCCTGTGGTCAGGAGACCCTACTCCTCCCTCCCACTCTTCTCTCCCCCTCCTTTCTCCTCTGGTCCTCTCTCCCCTTCACCCATCCCTCCATTTCCTCTTCAGGCTGCTCACTTCATTCTCCCATCCTGCTCCCAGCTTCTTCCTCTCTCCCCCAGCCTTGGGCTCCTCTTGTGGCTGAGCTCAGGGAGGGGCTATGAAATTCATTAGCCGTCACATTGACGTGGGATTAAATCATCCTGGCCGCTCCGCTCCGCTCCGGCAGCACTCTCCTCTCCACCAGGCCCTCACTGAGCCCCAGGCGCCTCCGAGCCCTGCAGCTCCGCCAGGACTCTCCCAACCCTTCAGTGCAGCTCCAGGCTGCCTCCACTCCACCCGGTCCCTGTGACCCAGAGCTGGGTCCCTTCCCTCAACCCAAGTCCCTGGTGGGTTGGGGCGGAGGTGGCTCCAGGTCACTCCCTTTTCAGCCTCCCTCTTGCAAGCTTCACCCTCACCCTCCCGGCCCCAGTCCTGGCTTCTAAGCCCAGCGTTGGGCCCCTTCTCCTGCTCCCCCCGCCCCAGCCCATCTCTGGTGCCCCTGCTGCCTCCCTATCAGTGCTCGTGTGCCTGTCATCTTCCTCCACTGCCTTGTCCCTCTCTCCTCATCTCAGGCCCCTTGCCTGATACCTTCTGCTCTCACAAAGGTCTCAGAACTGCCCTCAGAGAATTATTTAAGTTATTCCAGCTTCCCCTTGAGATGAAATGCTCTATGAAGTCTTACAGCGTATCCCAGCACCCTGCCCAGGCCTGGCATTCATCCCACAAATGCTTATTGAGCACCAACTATGCGGTTGGCACTATATTAGTCTCTGAGAACACAGCTGTGAACAAAACAGACATGGTCCCTGCCCTCCTGCAGAGCTCAGTCTAACAGGAGACACAGAAAATAACCTCAAAAAAATCACATCGTGTAACCCAAATATATATAACTTTTGTTTGTCAATCATACCTCAATAGAGCTGGAAAAAAAATAAACAAACACATAAATAAATCTAAGTATATCATAAATGGTGGTTGTACTATGAAGGGGAGAAAAATATACAGAGTAGGCCCCTTATACATATTTATGTAATGCATGAATGATGCATTAACTCCAATTTTTTTTTCCCCTTTTCTTGGCCCTACTTGCTTCCATGAATGAAGGCTGATCTGGTCTATACCACCTAAAAATATCCTTAATTATATCCTAAATTAATCTTTCACTTTTTCCCCTTGTTTTTGTCTTATCATATTAATAATAATAATAATTTTCACACATTAAATGGCTACTATGTGCCGGGCAATATGTTAAGAACCTTCATGTATTGCCTCATTGTCATTTTTATCCCCACTTTAAATACAAAAAAAACTGAGACTCAGATTAAATAACCTGTCAAAAGCCACACAGCTACCAGCCATAGATCTGTGTCTTACACTTCTTCATTGCCCCATAGGCAGGGGTACACAAGATCCCACAAAAGGAGTTGGGTAACCAAGCTGGTGGGGAAGAACGGACCTGGAAGCGTAACTCTGCCTCCGGGCCCCTGCTGAATCCAGCAAGAGTGGGGTTGGCACCGTTCCTGCCCCTTGGAGGGCTCCAGGCCTGGTGCTCTCACACATCTCTCTGTACCTGTTAGGAATGGAAATCAGCCACCACCCTGCAAGAGCTGGTTGTTCAGCCTTTACTAGCACACCACTGGGCTTACCCACAAAATATGTCCAGAATCTGATCGCTTCTCACTACCCTGCCAGCCAGCACTGTGACCCCAGCCACCACGATCTCCTTACCCAGATTATCACACTGGTGTTTTAAAAGCTCTTTCTGCTTCATTCCTTGCTTCTCTTCAACTGATCCTCAACACTGCAGCAAGAATGACCCTGTCACTCCAATGGCTTCCAGTCTCACTCCAAGTGAGACCCAAAGCCCTAGGTACTTTGGCTTTCTCCTCCTCACTCCTCTTACCTGTTACCTCTCTCACCTCTAATACTACTATCCACACCTCTCCCGGCCACTCTTGCCCCCTTCCTGTTTCTCAGCCACTCTGATACTCTCCTTGGGCCTCAGGGCCTTTGTACGTGTTATTCTCTCTTTCTGCCTGTTCTCCCTGCAGATATCTACATAACTTCCTCACCCCTCAACTTCAAGTCTTTATCACATTTCATCTTCTCAGTGGATGTCTCTGCCCACCCTGTCTGAAATTGAAATACCTGCACAAAACTTCGTAAGTCCCTTTTCTGCTTTCTTCTTCCCCTTAGCAGTTGTTATTAACACATTATAAATTATACAAATTTATCTTTATCATATGTCTCCCAATTAGAATATAACTCCATGATTTTGGTGTTTTTTTCTGTTTTTGTTGAGATACATCCTGTACCACTAAAACTAAGTCTGACATACAGGCATTCAGTAAATAATTCCTCACTCACTGGTTTGTGTTGACTTACATGGGTATGATCTGCTGGGGCATTTGAACATTTTAATTCGATTGAGGAGGATAGGGCTTATCCCAGCCTTACTGGCATCTTAAAGGCAGTGTGCTGGCCCAAGTCTGCAAATTGGCAGCCTGAGTCGAATCCAGCCCAAGAATGTGTTTTGTTTAGCCCACTAGACTTTTAAAAAAATAATTAATTAATTTATTTGTTTTTGGCTACATTGGGTCTTTGTTGCTGCTCGCAGGCTTTCTCTAGTTGTGGCGAGTGGGGGCTACTCTTTGTTGTGGGCTTCTCATTGTGGTGGCTTCTTCTCTTGTTGTGGAGCATAGGCTCTAGAGCGCAGGCTCAGTAGTTGTTGTGCACGGGCTTAGTTGCTCCGCGGCATGTGGGATCTTCCTGGACCAGGGCTCGAACCCATGTCCCCTGCATTGGTAGGTGGATTCTTAACCACTGCGCCAGCAGAGAAGCCCGCTAGACATTTTAAACTAAATAAGATTAGTTGCCAACATAAAAAAATGGGAAATTTCACATTTTAAAAATCCAGATTTCCAGCTTCTCCGGAAAAAACCAAAGATCCTGTAATCCTGAGGCTGCATTCCCACCTGGCAACGATCAGAAGGCACTGAGCAGAGCCTGCTCTCCAGTCTCTACGCCGCTCCCCACCAGCGTCACCTGCTCACATATGCGTCTGGAACCTGCCTGGTCTCCTGGATTAGGTTTGTGTCTGTTCAACGGTGAGGTTAGTAGCAAGACCCCTAAATTGGAGACAGGAGCTCTGAGTTTCAGTTCTTCACTTGTAAATGGAGATAATAACAATATCTACCTGAGAGGACAGTTATGAGACTTAGTGAGGCAACATCTGTGTTGAAGAGACTGGGTGAGCTGCAAAGCCCAGGACACCCTGAAGGGATCAGCATTCACGCTACAGCTGATAGGTCTCTGTCCAGGTCTCTCCTGTCTGAGGATCCCACCCAAAGCTTCTATGCAACATCATTCTGCCTTTCAGATAGCATCTGGCTCCCATGCAGAGCAAGGTCCTCAACCTACTCTCTGTCCTCAGCCTGTCCAAGGACACCTACCCAGCCACCTTCCTTGCACAGCAGCTCTACCAACCTGCCTCAGGGGCAGAGTCCTGTGTTCTAGGACATCCCCCTCTGACAGGCTCCACTGCACTGGGCCCTGGGCAGCTGCGTCAGCAAAGCCTGGCAGGATGACACCAGGAGATAATCTATAGGATCCTGTGTAGGTTGGGTCCTGGGAGAGCCAAATGAGGACCGTGGTTCCTGCCTGCTCACAGCACCCACCAGCACTGTCAGCTGAGCCCAGAGTGGTTCGTGAATGTCTCTCTGCCCATGATCAGAAAGGTAGGAGTGTGGCGGGCGAGGGGGACACCATTCCCCCAGCCCACAGTGGGTTTGGGGTGGAAAAGCCAACTGTTATTGGGAAGCTTCAAGAATGTGTGGGAAGGCCACAGGAATGCCAGGGGAGGGGAAGTTGGAGGGACGGTAGGGATGCCAGAGTTGAGGGCTTTTTTATGCCATGTCTGTGGACATCAGAATCCTGGCTTTGAGTAACCATGTGCTCATGTATTAGCTGTGTTGTCGGAGGCAAGTAACATAACTTCTCTGAGACTGGTCTCCTCTTCTGTGAAGAGGAGAGATCTTTACCTACTTTCTAGTGTTGTGAGAATCACAAGAGGTCATGGGAGAATCACATCAATTTAATTAATGAGAGGATCACATTATGAGCTCCTGCTTGGCAGACAGTGTCCTAAGTGCTTTACATTAACTCATCCACTCCTCACACCAGCCCTATGACCAGGTGCTATTTTTATACCCATTTTAGGGATGAGGAAACTGAGGTACAGCAAGGTTAAGGACATTGCCTGTGAATTTACAGCTAATAAGTTGCAAAGCTGGAATTTGAACCCAAGGGATCTAGGTCTAGAATTCAAGACCATTTTAAACTCTTGTTGTGTTACATCTCTAAAAAACTGTGCTGGGACAACTCTAAAATCTACGTTAAAATGTAAGGGCAAATTGTTCACTCAAATAACTGGATGTTATTTTACTGGAAGGGTTTTAATTTTTTAAGACTTGTTGGTAAGCAGAATAGTCAGGCTGTTTACTCTTGAGCTCCCAGTGGGGTGCTAGCTCCTATGGGAGGTCTGTGATGTCTGAGGGGCTCATGGCTCCCTGGGGAAACTGGGACTAGCAGCCTGGGAAGAGAGAAGTGTTATGAGGGAAAGCCCTGGGGTTGAGTTGGGAGTGGATGCCTGAGAGAGGACACAGTGTGCAATTTCTGGGAAGGCTTCTGGAGGGTTAGGGTTAAGGTGGTCCCTGAAGAGCAGGACCTTGAAAAACGGGATGAGAACAGGGTTGGGTCGCCCCAGTGCCATGGTTGTGGTGTGACTGAGGTCCTGCCAGCCACCCTTCTGCGTTGTTTTCTGAATCCTACTTGCCCTTTCTGGCTGGGAGTGGTCCTCCCATCACTTCCGTGGTAAGGAGCAGAATTCTGTGATCTCAAAGGCCTTGTTCAGCTTGCAGGTGGCTGTGAATGGACACAGAGGCCTGCCTCTGATTTAAACTTCATGATTTAAACTATACTCCCAAGGGAGCAAATGGCAGCTAGAGACTGGGCCTTGGGGCTAACGGCCATGAAAAGGAGGAGGCAGGAGACAGGAATGCTGCCCTCCCTCCCCTGATGGCCGTCTTAGTCTGCCCTGTACCAAGCCCCTCATGTTTGGGAAGAGGCAGACTCAGCCTGGGCTGTGTTGGGGCTTCTTGGGTGAGTTTTTGGCAGCCCTGGTCTGGTTCTACCACCACCCGAGTAGTTCTCTTTTCCAGAAAATCATCACATCTCTTCCCGGATTCTCTCTTTCTCCCCTCCCGGACATGATCAGAACAGAGTGAGACATTTCTTGCCCCTGTAAAAAGTCATGTTTATGAAATAAATCATATTCAGATTTCTCTAAACCAATCAGCTTTCTAGAAAGTATGATTCACTTGTTCACTCATTCACAAATATTTCTTCATCTCTAAAGGGGATCAATGATGTAACTCATGGGAAAATTGTAGGTGCTGAATGGCAGTACATGGAAATCCCTAGAATGGTACCTGGCACCCAGTAGGCCAGTGTTGAGATTGGCTCATTCTACTGTGCACTGTCACTGTTCTAAGTGCCACGGGGATTGGGGAAGTGGCTGAGACAAGATCCCTGCTCTCAAGGATTTCATAGTCTGGTGCATCCAAGTAATATGGACCCAAAAAAGGCCCTACAACTGTGGTTTAGCATGCAGCGTGTGCCTCAGAGTCCCCTGGGGGCCTCTCTCCTTCACAGTTTTGATTCACTGGGGAGTAAGCAAGGCTGGAGCATCTGCATTTTATTAAAAGATGTGCAGGAGATTCTGAGGCACACGCAGGGTGCAAGAGGCTGTCCTACAGTATGATGGATGCCATATGGAGGTGGGGCACTAGGGACGGGCTGATCAGCTCTGCCTGGGTCAGGCAAGGGAGGCTTCCCAGAGGAGGTGCTGCCTGAAGGTTGCAGACAAAGAGGGTGGGAACACACTTCAGTAGAAGAACCAGCATACGTTAAACTGATGGCATTTTCCAGGAACTCCAAGAGTCAGTCACTGCCCGCGAGCATAGGTTCAGGAGATGTGGGGCTTGGGGCTCAAAGCGGGACTGCCAAGAGATGAAGCCAGAGAAACAGACGGGGGCTTGACTCTCTAGTTCAGGGGTCACAGTCAGGTTCTGAAAAACCTGCCATCTCTTATTGCAGGAAGAAAACACATGTACACACAAAATCTTGCATAAAATTTCAAGAGGTTCATAGACACACCCTTTCCCCCCCACCCATCCGTCCTCTGACATACATGGACCAAAAACCACTGTCAAATGTGACGCATCAGAATATGGAACACAAAGGAGCCTCAGGTTTATGGAAGAAATTAAGGAGTCCACTTCTGGAGAACTTGAATTTGAGTTGTTTCAAATTTGACCTCCAAGTGGAAGGTGGGTGCTTAGGCAGATGGGTGGTTAGGGGTGGGGTTTAGTGAGAAGCGTAGGCTGGACACAGAGACTGGGTCATCTGCAGATAGGTGGTAGCTGAAGTCATGGGAGTGGCTGGGATGACCCTGGGGCGGTGTGGGGGGAGAGAAAAGCAGGGGGGGGGCTTGGGTGTGACTCTTATACACATGACACTTACCTTTATTACTCTAAGAACATATTAGGTAAACCAAGCCCTGATTATAAGCTATTTACATACTAGGAAATGCTAGTATAGGATGCTATACTTGGGGGGAAGGGACAAGAAGAGAACAAGATGAGTGGGGTGTGAGAGATGTAGTTGTCACTACTCCAAGTGCAGGCATGAGCTGCTTGGGAGATCATTTTGGAAAGAGTCCTTGAAGCAGATAGGATCCCACAGTTCTCTGGATGACGGGCGGGCTGCCCTGCTAGGCTTGGGGAACCAGGGAACACATGCACTCTCCTTTGGGAGTGGGAGGTGCTCAGGGACACTCCCCAATTCTTTGGAAGGGTTTCTTAGCAGTGTCTTATTCCAATCCAGACGGCACAAGGGGACTCTCGACACCTCCACTTGGCCATGATGCATTCCACCTGCAGAAGAAAGTGAGGCAGACCTCAGGGTCCTCCCACCCTCTCCCATCTTTAATGTATCTATATGGAAAGCCCTCCCGAAGGATGCAATTTAAAACAAACTTAGCTACAGATTTAACAATGAGTCTCCTTTTAAAGAATAAAATTACTCAAACTGGGGACTGTCATAGGAAATACTGGACATATGGTCAACATATTAAAGAGCTGTGAGTCTTTATGCTGAGCAGGAAAACTTTCAGAACTATTAACATGTCTCCCCCTGACCCCCCTTGTTTCCATCTCCTCTTTGCCCTTCCTCTCCAAAGCTAGGGCTTTTAATTACCTCGGGCAGTGTTGTATCAGCAGAGCAAAAATCACCCTCTGCCCAGTTTTGTCCCCTTGACTAGAATGTAGATTAGATACAAGACTTGGGAGAGAAATATATTAATAATATTATATATTTTTATGTAAGAAATATAAGACTCTCCTCACCCTGCTCAGCGGGACAGCTCCTAAAATTCAGAAGTATGGGGTTGGGGGAGGGGGACAAGAGAGCACAGACATTGATAAGTTTTGGAAAAGCTGACCCTGCACACATTTCTTCACTCAATGACCCCAGAGAGGGGAAAATACCAGGGAGATAAGAGGAATCCAAGAACAGGGGGTATGGGCCTCATCGAGTGGGACAGCTCCAGGCAGCAACAAGCGTGTAGAGAAATGCTGCCTGGACCGCCTAGGGAGGTAAAGGCCTTACAGAAGCTTCTGTTTCTTCCAGCACATGGTTGGAGCTCCAGAATCATTGGAGAGTGGCAGAGAACAACGGAGAGAGCCATCAGCCTGAAGGGACCATGGGGCAGAGCAAAGGACATCTACTCACTATCTGAGGGTCCCATCCACCAAGACCAGGTAGGGTGGCTGAGGTCTCGGAGGAGGTTTCTTCTGCAAACAGGCCATGTTGAGAATCAGATCCAGGCACATTAGACACCACCCTGGGGAAGGGAGGTGGTTCTTGAAGATTCTGCCAACCCAACTGAATAAAAAGTCAAAACAGAAATGAAAGGAAATGAGTCACACTTCTCATACACATGAGTTTGTGAATAATGATTCATAAAATTTAAATCATATTTATGTAAAGATTACACAAATTACATTTTAAAAACTGGGGCTTTCTGAGAAAATATAAGACAGGTGGTCACTGTACTACAAATCTAAATCTCTAGTACCTTTTAGAAGAAGAAGAAAAAATTATTCCAACCCCACTCCCTTAAAAAATAAATAAATAAAAGGGAGAAAGAGGATCATTGTAGTGTTAGCAGTAATTTTCCAAACATTTCACCAAAAAAAAAAACAAACAAAAAAAACCAAACGAAACTCCTGAATCTAGTCATTCATTCATCTCAGGCAAATATGGAAGAACTAGAAGTATTAGCCACGAAGAGTGAAGTTACCAGGACAGGGCTGAGGATGGAAAATGTTTTGCAATTTCATAGCTGTCGCCACCTTGGGTGGTGAAATGGGTCATGAACACAGTGTGCCTTGGTGCCTGCTGCTCAGGGGAGCCCAGAGGAGGCTCCAGACACAGGCTTCGTTGACCTTTATGTGTTTAACGCCCTAGCAGCCTTGATGTCTGGGACAGCTGCCTCACCCGCTCCTCTGAAGGGCGGCCTGGCGAGTCCTGTACCCACCCCTCCCCCAACACTTTGTGAGGTGGAGCCATGGAACCTCCTGCCTTCAGCGGCTTCCCACTGGGATGAGCTGCAGCCATGGACTTGGAAAATGTTCTTGCTGAGGAAGAGGGGGCCCTCTGACTGCCTGCTCACTGTCTTGACCTCTTGGAAGGAAGAATATGGCTTAGGCTGGCTGCAGAAGGAGGGATTTACATTAAACATCGGGGAGCATTTCCACATCATCTGGACCAAAAAATACTGGCTCATGTCCCAAGGGAAACTGGGGATTTACCTATTTGTCGGGAGTCAGGTCAGAGTGCCTGCAAGCAGGAGGTGACTCAGTTAATACCATCATTCAGTTCTGCATTTTTTCAAGTGTCTTCCACTTTCAAATACACTCACAGATATGGACATGGGCATATAGTTTTATTCTCCCGGTTCTCTAAATGGTGCTCAGTCCTCCAAAGCCAGCTCTCTCTAAGCCTTCCCTTGAGAAATTTTCTCCTACCCTGTGGAGTATGAGACTGAGGCTGGAAGGCTTGTCACTAAAGCAGAGAAATGAACAGAACAGAGAGGATGACAGCCTACCCCAAGCCCCAGGGTCTCTTGTCAAATTCAGGCATATTTCTGAACTCATTAGCCCACCCCTCTGACCTTACCCACAGTGGAAATGGAGAACAGAAATGCCTTGGGTCGAGGTCCTTCGTGCCTATCTCCCCATCTCCCCAGATTCTTGTCTTCTAGATAAAGAACCAGGGAAGAAGTCAGTTGTCTAATGACTTATTCAGAGCTAACCAAGCAATGAGAGTCTAAATAACAATTGCTACAGCACTTATTATATGTCCTTGATGTGGTCTGTCTTATTTAATTCCTCAAATAGCCCTATGAGGTAAGGAAAATAATTCACTCCATTCTTCAGAAAAGGAAGCCAAGGCTTACAGAGGATAAGTAACTGACCTGCATAGCTGTTAAGAGGCAAGCTGGGATTTAAACCCAGGTCTATCTGACTCCAGAGCCCACAGCCTTAACTCCTAGACTCTGCCATTTCCTAGAGGAATGCAGAGTGACGCATAACATATATATATGGGAAATAGCTGGGAAATAGCTAGACTAGTGCATGAAAAGAGGGGAGGTGGAAAACCTATTTTTAGATTATAGATAGCATCTTTTGGGAAAGGTTGGAAATTTCATTGTTGAAAATGGTGAAGCTGTTCCTACATTTGGCAAATATAGACATGGAGGTCCTGGCTGTAAAGAGCTTGTAGAAAAGGGAAGTTGGAGTAAATGAGTTGGAAGGTTTGGAATGCACCAACGCTTCCTCTGAGTAAAGGCAGGAGCTTGTTCCCTTCTCCCTTGTCCCAGTCCAGCTCCAATTCTAGGCCCTCTAATTCCCAGACCTTCTGTTGAACAATACTCCCCACCCTGTCCAACCCCAGCAAACTCTAGGCCTAACCCACTGGCTGCCAGGAAAATGGCAGGCTGGGGCAGAGCCTGGGATGACAGCTCCAAGGGAAGCAGTCAGTGCCGCCCTGTCTCCAGAAGCCAATGGAAAGAATGACATAGACAGTAGGAGAGCCAAGCTGTTACTCGGGTGGGAAGCTGGACTCTCTGTCCAGTTAATCAGTGGGCACTTGTCCAAAGATTTGATCTGGGACACCCCTGCAGGGTCTGAAGGGACTGGAGGAGAGGGCGTCCGTAGACATTTTGTTAAAAATTGAGCCAGGTAGCCAGCTGCCTAGGAGACAGGCCTGCCTTAAGACAGGGGCTGGCCGCTAGGCTCCTAGAGCGTGTTTTGAGAGACCTGAGAGGAGGTAAGTTTTCTTGTTACAAGCCTTGAAAGTTCCAGAACATCACTTCTGCCACATTCTATTGGTCAAGCAAGCCACTAAGGCCAACCCAGGTCTCAAAAGGAGGAGTAGTCAAGGTCTGTGGCCATCTTTAATATACCACGTGTCCTCATTTGCCAGAAGAGTAGGTGAGGCTCATAGTGTGGCACCTGACTGCTTCTAGGGCATATAGCTGTTAGACACTCTATTAGTTTCCTAGTGCTGCTGTAACAAATTACCATAAGCATAGTGGCTTAAAACAACTAATTTATTCTCTTATATTTCTGGAGGCCGGAAGGCTGAAATGTGTCTTATAGGTGAAAATCAAGGTTTCAACAGAATGGTGTTTCTTCTGGGGGCTCTAGGGGAGAATTTTTTCCTTGCCTTTTGCAGCTTCTAGAGGCTGCCTGCGTTCCTTGGCTGTGGCTCCGACCTCCACAGCGGGAACACACACTCAACCTCTGCTGTCATCACACCTTCTCCCTGACTTTGACCATCTTGCCTCCCTCTCATAAGCACCTTTGTGATTAAGTTGGGCCCACCCAGATAACGAAAGATGATCTCTCCATCTCAAGATCCTTAACTTAATTCCATCTGCAAGGTCCCGTTTTCCATGTAAGGTAACATATTCACAGGCTCTGAGAATTGGGATGTGGACATCGGGGGGCCATTAATTCTGTCTACAACAGATACTGAGCCTGACCTAGAACACAGGCTCCCAGCTCATGAGGTGCTTTCTGTGATAGTAGGAGAGGGCTATGTCAGTTACTTATTGCCTCAAAAATGCAGCATAACTGACCAACCCCAAAACTCAGGCCTTCAAACTAGACGTGTTCATTTAGCTCACAAGCTTGTGGGGTTCTGAGTGGTTCTCATCTTCCCTGGCCCTGCTAACATGTTCGTAGGTCAGCCCTCCTCGGCTGGGACAGCTGAGACAAATCGGTTCCTTTCTGCATGTCTCGTATCCTCTGTGGGCTAGCTCAGACTTATGTTCACGGCAAGGGCAGAAGTGCAAGAGCCCCAGGAGAAACATGCAAGTGCCTTATAAAGCCTCTGTTGGATTCACGTCTGCTGACAACCTGTTAGTCAAGGCAAGCCTTATGGTTGGGGCCAGGGTCAGGGTAGGGAGGACACCAAAGATTTCACGGCAAAGGATGTGGACACAGAGAGCAGTGAAGAATTTGGACTCTGAATTAATTTCCCTCCCCAGTGACATGGTTGTTTCAGTTCCAAGTGCCACTGAATACAAAGTCCACACATGAGCATTTGTTTTGGGCTCACAAGGGCCAGAGACGTGGTCGCACTCTATTATCCCAACGTGGCTACATCTGTATATTTATCCCATCCCATGAGCTCTCCTTACCAGCTGACTAGAACCCAGTGAGAGGCAGGTTTTATGTTCCCTCCCCCCTTGAATCAGCAGGGTCTCGGGATTGCCCTGAACCACAGAACACAGCAGAAGTGATGCCGTGTGACTTCTAAAGATTAGGTCACAAAAAGCTTCAGCTTCTGCCTGGTTCACTCTGTCTCAAGATGTTTGCCTTTGGAACCCAGTAGCCATGTTGTAAGGAAGCCCAGGCCACATGAAGAGGTCCCCTTGAAGAGGAACTAAGGCCTTCCCCCAACAGCCAGCACCAATTGGCCAGCCATGTGAATAGGCAACCTTGGAAGGGGATCCTCCAGACCCAATCACACCTTTAGGAACTGCAGCCTTGGCTGACATTGTGACCACAACCTCATGAGAGCTGAGTCAGAACTACCCAGCCAAGCCACTCTCAGATTCCTGATCTGTAGAAACAATGCAAGGTAATAAACGATTGTTGTTGTTTTAAGTCACTAATATTTGAGATGATTTGTTATGCAGCATTAGCTAACCACTACAGACCTGTTCATGAGGCTTAGGACAGAATGAGAATAAACATGGTCTGAGACCTTAAGGAACCTACAGTCTCCAGGTGACCAAGCAGACACTAATGGAATCAACAATGTATATGTCTTAGTCCATTTGGACTGCTATAACAGAGCACTATAGACTGGGTGGCTCATAAATAAGAATTTATCTCTCATCTTTCTGGAGGCTGGGAAGTCCAACGTCAAGTTACCAGCAGATCTGGTATCTGATAAAAGCCCACTTCCTGACTCACACACAGCTGTCTTCTCACTGTGTCCTCACATGGCAGAAGGGGCAAGGGAGCCCTCTGGGGTCTCTTTTATAGAGACACTAATCTATTCATGAAGGCTCTACCTTTGTGACCTAATCACCTCACAAATGCCCCACCTCTAAATACCATCACATTGGCAATTAGGATTTCAACATATGACTTGGGGCAGGGGACACAAACTTTCAGTCTATAGCAATATACAAAGTAATACAGTCAGGATATATTAGGGTCGCCAAGAGAAAATGTGGGTCAGAGATATGGTCACCATATTTTTCCAACTCAGAATTGGGACAATTGACTAATGGCAGCCCATTGTAGCTTAGAACTGGAACAGAATATTTAGATCAGGGCTGACCAGAATAGTCAGGTTGGTAT